TTCCTTTCCTTTCCTTTCCTTTCCTTTCCTTTCCTTTCCTTTCCTTTCCTTTCCTTTCCTTTCCTTTCCTTTCCTTTCCTTTCCTTTCCTCGCCTCGCCTCTCCTCTCCTCTCCTCTCCTCTCCTCTCCTCTCCTCTCCTCTCCTCTCTCCTCTTTGAACTCCCTCCATCAGAACTTGAAGTCCCTGACAACAGCTCAAGAAGCAGCTCCCACTGACTCTCTTATGTTCTATTCATCTCATTCCAGGGCGGAGGACCTGCGCTGGAGAGACTCTTGCCAAAATGGAGCTCTTCCTCTTCTTCACCAGCCTCCTGCAGAGGTTCACCTTCCACCCTCCTCCTGGCATTTCCAGCTCCAACCTAGACCTCTCTCCCGCCATTGGGATCACCGTATCCCCAGTGACTCATGAGGTCTGCGCAGTGCCACGCTCCTAGAGCTTTTCTTAGCCGTCTTCTTTTCCTGAAACACCCAGATGAAATATCTCTGTCTCTAGTCCCACATGGGAAGTTTGGTACTTCTGAATCCAGTAAGGGATTTTTAGCCCAAGCTCACCTTGACTCCTAGCAAGAATTATCTCACCCACCGTTACAGTAGGCAGTAGTCCTGACTTCCAGCCACTCCTTGAAATGGAAGGTGATGGTCATTGTGAGGATGAATCCCATGAGGGAGGTAGCAAAGTCCATTTCATTCAGTCCTTCCCTAAACCTCTGCATGGTCTTGATGATTAAAGAGGCTGGGACCAGTCTCTGGGCCATGCCCCAAAGTGCACTGCACTGATCTACACACACAAAACCCCAAGAGCCTTCACCTTCCACACCTCCAGCACAGCTGCTTACATACTGCCTAGCGAAAATGGTCCATTACACCATCTATCCTTGCACCAGTGCCCTGAAAACACACAAATATGACTCAACAGCTCAACCTGAGACACAGCAACGTAAGAAGTTCACCTGATGCAGAACTGCAGTAGATGCAGAGGGCTCTCAGCTGATGCCGTGCCATGTTATATGCTGTATAAAAGTTAAAATTAGTTTACTACAGAATTATGTACATATTATTAGTGATAAAACCACATAAAAATAAAAAATCCTTCTCAATTTCAAATCAAACTGCTATTGATGTTGTCTTCAAAGCTGGAAAGGTCTTTTTTGACACCTGAAACGGCTTCTAGGGATGCATCCATGCCTGAAACAACCAACCAGTGCTGTGCTCCCAGTGAGAACCTGGCAAACCAGTCCTTCTGTAGCACCTCTTAGGCCTCTCCAACTTCTTTCTCATACTTCCCTGTGGAGCTTTTTTAGTCATGAGGACAAATTTTCTCAGTCACAAGAAATCTTCTTAGACTTCAATAAGGATTTTGACACTGTCATCCCTAAGATCCTCATAGACAAGTTGTCTGGATGAGCATACAATGAGGTAGGTAGAAAACTTGCTGAAGAGCCAGGCCCAGACGTTAGTGACCTGTGGCATGAAGTGCAGTTGGAGGTCAGTAACTAGCAGAGTACCCCAAGGGTCAACATGTGACCTGTCCTCTTTAGTGTTTTCCTTAGTGATCTGGATGATGGGGCAGAGTGAACCCTCAGCAAGTTTGCTTATGAGACAAAACAGGAAGGAGTGGCTGGTACACCAGAAGATTGTGCCACCACCTAGAGGGACCTCAGCAGGATGGAGAAATGAGCTGACAGAAACCTCATGAAGTTCAAAGCCAAGTCCTGCTCCAGGCACCAGAACATGCTGGGAGCTGCCCAGCTGGAAGGCAGCTTGGTAGAAAAGGATGTAGTGGTCCTGGTGGACACCAAGCTAAACATGAGGCAACGATGTGTCCTTGTTGCAAAGGCAGCTATTGGTATCTTAAGCTGCATTAGGAGTGTTGTCAGCAGGTTGAGGGAGGTGATCCTTCCCCTCGACTCAGCACTGGAGAGGTCACACCTGGAGTGCTGTGTCTAGTCCTAGGATCCCCAGTATAGAAGACATATGAACATACAGGTCCAGAAAAGGGCCATGAAGATGATTAATGGACTGGAACATCTTTTCTATGAGAAAAGGCTGAGAAAGACAGGACTGTTTAGCCTGAAGAACAGAAGGCTCAGGGGGGTCTTATCTATATATGAAAATATCTGAAGGAACAGTGCGAAGAAGATAGAGACAGACTCTTTTCAGTGGTGCTCAGTGACAGGACCAGAGACAAATGGCACATGCTGAAACACAAGATGTTCCCTCTGAACACCAGGAAATACTTTTTAACTGTGAGAGTGACTGAGGACTGGCATAGGTTGCCCAGGGAGGTGGTGGAATCTCCCTCCTTGGAGCTATTCAAAAGCTGTCTGGACATAGTCTTGGGTGGCCTTCATGGAACAGGGTGGTTGGGCCAGCTGACCTCCAGAGGTGCTTTCCAACCTTATCCATTCTGTGATTTGAGTTTCCCAGTGAATTCAACTCAAACAGAATTATACCAATACCTAAGCACTTGAAAAAAAAAAAAAAAATCTCTGTGCAACTAAACACTTGGGCATTTTTATTTCAGTTTGCAGGGTATCAAGGCTGTACCTGTACTAATGATGAAAATATAATTAATCAGTAACCTGAAGAGCATGCAGAATTTGTGACTTTTATACCAAACATCAGGGTTGATGACCTGTGGTTCTCCATGTTCTTGGACTTTCATTCTTGGACAGTGAGCTGCATGCCTACTCAGTCACACACTTGGCTAGCAAACATTTACCTGCCTCTGTACCATACTGAGGATTCATTAGCCAGCACAGGAGAAGAGAACAAAACCAGCCACCAATTGCAGAAAAACCATACCCTTCACTGATAAAAAAGTTTATGGACTAATACAAGCATCTCTCAAGGGAAATTTTTGCAGGAAGACAGCGATCCAGAGTCCACATTTTCTCTTTTGTCTTTTGTACCAAATACTTGACTGAATAGACATGGACTGGAGCAGCTGCACTTCCATTGGTTTAGTGCTCATCCTGTCTTTTCTATCCATTTTGAAAATGGGATGTTTCTGGAATAACCACAGGAGAAAGAATTTTCCCCCAGGACCAAGACCATTACCTATCATCGGAAATCTGCTTATGTTTGATTTGAAGAGACCCTACAGGACTTATCTACAGGTAGTCATTATCTTTTTTATTGGCCCCATAACTGCACATATCACCAAGCCCCATAGTCTAAGGTGTCAGAGAGTTTCTCCTTTTGCATCCACAGATATCCTTAGCAAAGGACAGGAGACTGTTGATTGAGCAGGAAACTCTGAACCTACTGAGATTTGTTCTTTACTGTAATACTTTCTCCCTTCACTGCAACTTCATGCATCTAGGTTTCAGACTTAAACAACTCTCAGATTAATTACAACTGCTCACCTTATTTTTCTGGTGTTTTTGTGAAAAATGTAACTGAATAAGGAGTGATTTTATATGCAGTACACCTCCTGCTACCTTCCACTGGTTGACGTGTCTGAGGTTGGACTACAGCCTCCTGCCTTCATGTATTTAGCAGCTCCTATCATCTCCCTTTCCTCCTTTCTTCCCCAAAAGCTGAAGATAACTATATACTCTTAATACTTAAGGCCAGCTCTTAATATTTAAGTCCAACAGTTGCCAGAATATACAGCAAATATGTAAACAAACCAAAGTAATCAATCTTACTTTTCCCTTCCAGTGTTTTCTTTACCTAGTTGATCGTAGGACTTTCCAGACCTTGAGTGTTCATCTTCTATGAACATGGTCCTTTCTTAGAGGTTTTTCTACTCAGACATTGAAATTACATATGTCCTCCTAGCTGACGATTTTAAAAGGGATATTTGCATCTTCATATCTCTATGTATGTTACATCCACAAGTCAAAAGACCGCTTAGATGCAGTACCTGGAAAATCATCTGTAGCTATCCAATGCAGCCTAACTGGGTTGGCAAAAGCCAGCTCCATCTCTTTTCAGGCGAACCCAACCAATGCTGCTGTAACGCAGTGAATTCATTCTAATGGAGGAGGTTTATTCACTGATGAGCTTAGGTCAAGTTTAATATTCACACATACTCATTATGGAAGTGCAACTGGAGACCACATGTTCCTCCTGAGCATTGAAAGCATTACAAAGTCCTCACTGGAGATCAACCTTTGAAAATTTCATATTCTTCCACAATTGCAGTAGTCTGGGATAACAGCATCACCATCAAAGAAGCTACTCTTAATTCAGACACGTGTTGCTGCTGCTGCTATGTAATTTCACACAGTTGGATGGACTTGCTTACCAGTTGCTGAACATTCTGTGTATCGATGCTAAATCGATGCCTTCTGTTTCTCTGTGCAAACACAGTGAAAAATAAGTACAGTCTGAAAAAAATCCCCCAAAAAAATTGTCAGGAGAATCAGAAACATCAAGTTATATGAAAATAAAACTGCCTGTACAAGATAAAAATATGTAAGCTTAGGCCAAACATTGTCTCTGAGACAGATTCATGTTGGATGTAGTCATATATAAAAAATGAGGGTTTACCTAATGCTAAATCCTGGCCTAGAAACTCACTGGGTTTTTTACAAAATAGTGGTAGCAAAGGCTTGAACAGGTTTAGTTAATAAACAAAAGAAACACATTAACATAGATATCAGTGTGAAAAGATGTCAAATACTGAATTTACAGGGATTCCTGAGAAAAGATGGAGCTGTCAGCACAATCGTTGACTGACATGGGGTTTCAGCTTGTAACATTTCTGCTTGGTTTAGCACAATGGGACTCCAATCCTGACTGTGCCGTTTAGTCATTAGCCATCATAACGCCTGGCATATTCACATTATTTAAATCAATTCCCTTTCTCTTTATGTAGGAAAACATTTAACCTGGCTTAAAGGTGTGACAGGAAAATAAGCAGCACTGAAAAACTGGTGAATTTCTTTGTAATCTGTAAAAGCTGTAAATAACTCTTATCTTCTCCTGACAGCTGTCAAAATTATATGGTCCAGTCTTTAGTGTTCAGATGGGGCTAAGGAAAATAGTAGTGATTTCTGGGTATGAGACAGTGAAGGAAGCTCTCGTAAACAAGGCTGATGCATTTGCAGAGAGACCTAGAATCCCAATCTTTGAAGATTTGACCAAAGGAAATGGTAAGTTGGTTTTATTTTTCCTTATCACTTTGACTTATTTAAAAACAGTTTTTTGCTATAGACGAAGCAGAAGCTGGCACATCACTTTGGATCAGAGACCATACAAAGCATTGGAAATAGGGAGCAATTTCATTGACTTAAATGCATTTATTCAAATTTGAAAGTACTTGCAATGTGAACAAAACAACCGTAACTCTAATAATAACAGCAGCAACAGATAATGGTTAGTGCCTCACTTTCAGGATCTCGAACAGGGGCATGCATGCCAGGGAAGGCATTTCTAGTTCCCGTGGTATGCCTCTGGACTTCCGTTGTCTTATCATAGAGTCTCCTTTTCCTGAAATGAATATTATACCGCTGCTTCTCTTTTCAAGTGGTGAATACTGCTTTTAAAATCTGAATGTAAAAGTAGAATGAACACATACAGAATTTGGGGTGTATTTTAAAAAGGGAAATATTGTACATGGAGATGAGTTTCTAAATGAGAATTTCACACCCAAACTTCATTCTAAATTTGCATGAGGGTTTCATATTTACATTTCCAAAGACCCTTGGACAAATTCAGTGACAATTATGTGAACATTTTAACAGTTGCATCTTTTGATCACATTATTGTATGTAAGCTTTCTTTACACCTAACTTTTTCTTCTTGGAAAAAAAAAAATATAACGGTAGTCATTAGTTACATGATATAACAGCTTCAGTGAAAACTGACTGAGGAGATTTTAAGATGCTACCTAAATTTTAAAAAGACATTTATGCCTAGTCAGGTTTTTCCCACAATCATCAGAGATGAGATCTCAGCTCAGTTCCACTTCCAAGGTACATATACCGGTAGTCATTAGTTACATGATGTAACAGCTTCAGTGAAAACTGACTGAGGAGATTTTAAGATGCTACCTAAATTTTAAAAAGACATTTATGCCTAGTCAGGTTTTTCCCACAATCATCAGAGATGAGATCTCAGCTCAGTTCCACTTCCAAGGTACAATGATCAGCAGCTTCACCTTGAATTTCCAATGCCCTCTTCCTTTCAGTGACAAGTGTCTCTCAGAGTTACATATTCTGCTTTAGATTTGATTAAATACCTCTTAAATAGTTTATCCTCTTTTTTGTGTGTGTGTGTGTGCAACAAACCTATTGTTGAGGTCTGAAAATACTTCAGGAAAAGTTGTTTTTTTCCTCAGCCATACATAATTTAGTTTCTTTTGAAAGTGACTGCTACTAAATATCTACATTATTTTTCTACATATTAGTTATTTAAAATCTTCTGTCACCTTGAAATGCTCTCTTTGTGTCAGGGGTTGTTTTTGCTCATGGTGAAAACTGGAAGGTGATGCGAAGATTTACTCTCACAACCTTGCGAGACTTTGGAATGGGAAAAAGGGCCATTGAGGACCGCATTGTGGAGGAGTACGGGTATCTGGCAGACACATTTGAGTCACAAAAAGGTGGGTAGGTGATTCATTCTTTAAACCTCAATGGTATTCTTCAAGTACCTAGACATTCGCCAGTAACCTCCTCACATTCAAACCTTTATATGAAATGTACTTTAGGCTGGATCAAGTTGATGAATTTGGCTCCTCTGGCATATTTATGTCTTGGCATAACTTAACATTGAATAATAATCAATAATAGCAATCAATCCTAACAAATAGATAGCAATAATTATTATTATGTTTATATTTACAAATTACCTCACTTGTCACAATAATGTATTCTTTTGTTTATTGTATAGGAAAGCCCTTTGATGCTAGTAAAATAATTAATGCAGCAGTTGCTAACATAATTGTGTCAATATTACTTGGAAAAAGATTTGACTACAAAGACTCCAGATTTGTGAGACTTCTACAATTGACCAATGAAAGCATGAGGCTTGCTGGGAAACCTTTGGTTACGGTAATGATAAACATTTTTATGCAGCTGTTCCACTGGATGCCATAGGAACATGGTAATACTGGTAGTCAACTGTTTCTATTAAGCAGAAAAATCTGAGACTCTGAGAGATAATAGGTTTACAAGAACTTTCTAGGGGAAAAAAAAAAGCTTGAAAGGCCACCTGGAAATCCTGAAACCAACAGCCAAACCCCCAGTCTATCAAAAACATACTTCAGCTACAGTTTGAAGAGCGCTAAATCTGAACTGAAAAAGTCAGACTCTCTTTCCCCTCTACTTTGCTCTAAACTATTTTCTCCCTTGTTGTGATAGCATTGTTTACAGAGTTCTGAAGTGAACTGGATGTAGAAAATAATCCAATTTATATAAAAAAAATTAATATATAGGGCAAGATGTTTTAGAGCATTTAATTTTGTGTGAGGTAACTTTTCCAGTCCAGTATCTTGCTCACACACAGATGCTTGTGCAGGCACAGTAGAGGCTGGTATGAGGAAAGGAGCACCTGAGAAGAGAGAACAAGGCTTGATTTCCTGGCAGCAATGCTGGCCAAGATGCCCACTAAATTAGTCTTTAAGAAAAGCAATAGAGCCATGTAAGCTGATGCCTCTTGGGGAAGGGAGAGCACTGAGTGTACTCCCTGCTCTTCCTACTCCACGTGGTAAATGCAATAGTCATGATACAACGTGAGGTGGATCTAAACCTCCAGGTTACGGACCATGAAATTACTGCCTGGACAATTTTTCCAGACAGAAGTAGCCTAGAAGAATTAGTATGAAGACAGCTACAACTCCTTTCGCACAGCACAAAAAAGCTCAAAGCTAATTATGCACCTGGAAAAAGATATGAGGCTCCTTGGAGATGATAATGGGAAGAGGATTGATATTGTCAGAGCTGTTACTCCTCCCTTGGCCCAGTCCCAAGGACCGTGGGGGAAAAAGACAGTCAGGAACATGTTACATGCTCTTTTCTGTGCACACACACACACTGCATAGTGCATGAACAGCAAGCACAGCATTCCCCAAAAATATGGTTCACAGGTATAAAGTGACGAGGCAACACAGCATGCTGTCTCAGAAGATGGGGCAGGGAGAAGCTATAGAGTATGTGGTCTACCCGTAGAAGGAGCCCTGATACAAATATATTTTCATATGCATCAAGTACACAGAAATGTCTCAATGAATAATAAATAGTACACAGAAATGTCTCAATGAATAATACTTTCTGATACTCACGTGCAATGCAGCTGCAAAACAGAATCACTTCTATTCCTTTAGGCTTTGATACAGAAAGAAAAACTAGCAGAAGAGCTGGCCAAAACAAAGGTTGCTAGACAACACTTCCATCTCCCTGGTGGCAAGGTGCAGATGTTTGAGTCTGACATCTACGCTATTCCTGCAAAACAGTCTCTGCTTCCAGTAATTTGGGGCTGAAAGTTTTCCTTGTATTCCTTGATGGATTTTCTACCATGAATTCATCCAGTTACTTTTTCATGTTCTAAAGAACAAAATATTAATGTTAAGTCTTCATATCTGCAAAATGGGTACAATATTATTAATTTGTTTCTGTAGTGTTTTCAAAAGTCTGGCCAGTAAATTCTCTTTAACATCTTTTACTCTTGCAGATGTACAACATTTTCCCATACCTTGGATTCCTCCTGAGGGCTAACAAGACTCTTCTCCGAAACAGAGATGAAATCCATGCTTATATACAAGTTACTTTTGTAGAACATCTCAAAACTCTGGACAAAAATGATCAAAGAAGTTTTATTGATGCTTTCCTTGTTAAACAACAGGAGGTGACTGAATCTCTTCTTATCCCAATTTTTATGGCTTTTATGAAGACATTTACAATTTCCTTTCAGTTCTTAAAATTATAGCTATTTTTCTTTAAGGAATCTACCCTTGACAAAACACATCTGGCGAAACAGTAGAGCTGAATGGATATTTCACTCTGTTGTAGTTCCATCCCCTTTTAAGCAGCAAACATTTATCCTTATTTATGATTTTCTCCAGTCTATAGCAATATATATACAGAGGCTGAATCCTTTTATCTGCTCTCTCTGTTGTCTTAGCCCTTCTCCCTCTTTCAAAAACATAATGCATTACAGAACAAAAGTGCTGCCTGGGCTTTCGTGGAATCCGTATTTGGGGTCTGTGATATATCTGGGTGACCTGCTTCATAGAGAAACCAGCTCTCTTTGCAGCTGGCCCCAGCCAATGCAGAGATCAAGCAAAACAAAACCTATGCCAACACTCATCTCCAGCTACAAGCCCAAAGCTCTTTGTCTTTCACACTTTTTTAAAAATATAAAACCTATTTCTTACTAAATGTTTAACTATGTAAATTGCATTTTCACAAGGAAAGCTTTAAGTTTTCATGCTTTGTCTCAACCGCTTCTTCCAGGAGAAATCTACTACCAATGGGTATTTCCACAATGGCAACTTGCTAAGCTTGGTGAGCAATTTGTTCACTGCTGGTGTTGAGACAATTTCCTCCACACTAAACTGGAGCTTTCTGCTGATGCTTAAGTACCCTGAAATTCAGAGTAAGTGGTCTTATGACAGATGCTGTTAGACCCAGTGCATTAGGAAATGAACGGGAACCTTGAGGGTCAACATAACGGTTCATACACTGTTACAAAAAGCCAATATTTCCAGCTAATTATTATCTAGGTATCACTGCGAACTGTGGGTCAGTTCCAGTGAGGGACATGCTAGTCAGACTGCCAGTAGATTATAAACAGAGTTTATATGGGTCAGGTCCATTTATCAGTAAAATCTCATTAATGAAAAAGAAGAGAGCTGTCCCGTGTTGGCTAATGAAATTGTTCCAGGTCTCCTTCATAAACAGGCTGTTGTAAACCAATGGCCTTTGCAGATGTTAATTGGACTGTACTGAGACTTTAAATACCTGAGAAGATTCAGGGAATTGCTCTTTGTCTGACACCCACATTCCAGTTCATTAGGCAGCATTGTTATGAGTCAAGTGGAGTTTTTGAGACACCTCTTGGTCAGAGTAAGAAACTTCAGGCAGAAGAGAGGGCAGAAAAACACAAGCCTTTAAGTTTCTTCTTGGTAAAGAAATAATCAAACACTGTCATTCTGTCTAGCTCCCATTATTTCTGAAAGGAAAAAAAAAGATTATGTTGGAATTTATGGGTTTCACTCAAGGTCTGTTATACTGTACATCAGTAAAGCACAATATGTCCCAGGGATGAATGAGTTGTCTCTTTCTTACTGTTGATTCTTTCTTCAGGAAAGGTCCAAGAAGAGATAGAGCAAGTGATAGGGTCAAACTCCCCACGGATTGAGCATCGAACTCAAATGCCATATACTGATGCTGTCATCCATGAAATTCAGAGGTTCGCTAATATCCTGCCATTGGATTTGCCCCATGAGACTGCTGCAGATGTCACTCTCAAAGGCTATTTCATTCCCAAGGTGAGATGCCTTCAGGATTGCTCATTTCAGCATTTTTTTCTCAAACCCAGCTAATATGATAAACATGAACTCTCTATTGAAGTCACATGACAGCTGCCAGAATAATCTCCTTCTCCAAGGTGACAGTCTTGAAGACTTACTGCCATTACTGCCACCACAATATTTGTCCATGGATTAATTCCACTGCCTTTTTTTGTAGGGAACCTACATCATCCCCTTACTGGCCTCTGTCCTGCAAGACAAATCGCAGTGGGAGAAACCTGACATGTTCTATCCTGAGCACTTTCTTGATGCCAATGGAAAATTTGTGAAGAAAGATGCTTTCATGCCTTTTTCAGCAGGTGCTTCTCGTTTCCATTTACTGCTTCTGTGCCTTTCCTGGGAAACCATGCTTCATTTTTACATGTCCCTTTTAAAGCATCACAAGTAATGTCATATGAAACTGAGACTTCATATACTGTGTCAACGGTTAGGAGTCCCCTTATACAGAAAACCAAATTCTGTGTAAAATCAAACAACAGGCAGGGGGTGCCTTTTGAGACTTCCACAGACCGTGACGTTCACCTGAGCATACACACCTCCACCATTTACCAAAGCATGGGAGACAGTCCTTCTCTGGCATTTCTCCTGCTTTGCAGGCTCTGTTATTGCTCCATTAAGTTCCTATACATCAGTCTCTGGCTAATTTGTCTGTCATAACCACAACACTCTGCATCTTTTAGAGGCCCTACTTGTGCATTTCAATTCTGCATGATATTTGAATGAGGTTTTTACTTGTCATACTCACCATCCAACTCGTAGTAAATAGGGTTTTTTTCATTAAATAGCTTGTGATACATCCAATTCACAAACCATCTTTTTCAGATTTTAGATGTCCTAGCTGAAAGCCCCTGCAGGGAGTGTCAGGTCTGGGCAGTCCCTGGGGGGCTTATTTGATATCACAGCCATGCATTAGCTCTTCCTTTTTTTCTTTTTTTCTTTTTTCCTGTCATACAAAGAAGTTAAAATCAAATCATAGTTCAGGCCTTTGCTATTTCTGTCCATTTCTTGCGCTTCGATTTTTAATTGAATCACCAATTAAGCTAGTTTATAAGCTGATGAATTTGACCAGGATTGTGAAAAATTTCTATTCACAGCGCTTTTGAAAAAAAGCTTATATTAGGGGCTCCATAGAATATCTCTACCACCTTCCTCCTCAGTCCCACTCTAACCAGCATTTGTGCATCTTGAAGGTCTGTTCTGACAAAACTTAATACAAAAAATTGCTGTGACTAGACTAATAGAGGCAAAGTCTAGGCTAAATCAGTCAAAGTTGGTCTGGGATCCAAAAAAGTGAAAATGAAGAAAAATACAAATTTTACTGAAAACTGGAATTACAGAATTCAGATTGCATTCCCATACATTTCTGCCCAAATGCAAGCATTTAGACATAGGAAAAGAAAAAGAAAAGGAAATTACTGGGTGGCTTTGTTATACCCCTGAAGACCAAATATCCTCTCTCCCAGATGATTCTTGTACTCAATAGATTTTAAGAGCTACTGTGTTTTTATTCAGAGGTAGGATACATTTCAAGTGTTCTGGATTCCCACTTCTCTTCCCCAGAATAAGAGCTCAGAGGTTTTTATTTCTTCTACTGAAGAAACTATTGAAGGATCTGCTCCCACTGACTTGCTTACCGCCATTCTGCATCTCATTCCAGGGCGGAGAATCTGTGCCGGTGAGACTCTTGCCAAAATGGAGCTCTTCCTCTTCTTCACCAGCCTCCTGCAGAGGTTCACCTTCCACCCTCCCCCTGGAGTTTCCACCTCAGACCTGGATCTCAGCCCTGCTATTTCATTTAACGTCATCCCCAAACCTTACAAAATGTGTGCTGTAACACGTTTCTAGAGCTCTGATCAGCATCAGTTTGTTTAAAAAATGCTTAGATTTTACTATCTGTCTTCTTAATTCTTTGGCCAAAATAATTCAAAACATTACATGCTAATGAACATTTCCAGTACTTGTAAATCAAAGCGGTGTTCTTTTATTTTTTATTTACTGGGGGAGGGCAGAAGGGGACCAGAAGTGTGGGGTAACTGATGATTCATGCATCAAGCTATTACATCACCTAATCTGGGCTAAATAATACAGATCCTCAGCTTTCACATTCTTAATTCAATTTTGACTTGGTAATGCGTGCCTGTTGAAAGCATATCCACCAGAAACCAAGTCCAGGTTTCTGCAGAGACATATGGACCATGAAGATCTGCCCAACTTGGACTATCCTGCTG